TGGTCTTTTTGAGACAGGGTCTCGCTATGCAGTTCAGGCTGGCCTTGAGCTCACTTTGTAGCCCAGGCTGGTCTCGAACTCGCAACGATCCTCCTGCCTCAGCCTCCCGAGTGCTGGGATTACAGGCATGCCCCACCACGCCTGGCTCCTGGGACTTCTAAACATCCCTACCATCCAGAAGTCCTGGGTCCCCCAAATGTTCCTATTCCCCAAACCTAGGGATTCGGCCAACCATCGACACACAGAGAGACCCTTCTGAGGCCGGCAGCCTGGGAGCCTGGAAGCCCCAGCCTCCGCCGGCACCCAAACTCACCCACTCACCCACAAGCTGGGTCCGTACACTCCGTCTCTTCTCCAAGAGTAACCACCCGCTCACTGCTTCTGCGCCTTTTATTTGGCAGAGCCGCCGGCAACCTGGGCTCTCACACTCCGCCCCTTCCCCTGAAGCGGAAGGCCCGCCCCTTTCTTCCGTGCCTTCTCATTGGCTAGTGCAGAAGTGTTGGAGTTCGCTACCGGCCCGAGGCTGCGGGTCCTTCCCCAGGGTCAACCTGCACGCTGTGGCCCACCCGAAGCGCGTGCTCAGCTTCCCTACAGCTGTGGCTGCCAGTGTGACTTTGCAAGTCTCGCCAGGGGGGCCTTCGTTGCCTTGTCTGCAACCCGGCTTTCGAGGGTGGACGCCGAATGTTATGAGCTATGCCTTTGCCACCCAGCTGTCCTGTCCTGAGCCGTTGTAACTTTCCGGGCAGGGTGGGAACCCGAGATCTTTAAATCAGTCTCCACAAGTCGCCCTCCACCCCGCTTCAGGTCTGGAGTATGAAGTCCTTTGGAGGAAGGAGCCGGGAGGCAGCAGGGCCCAAGGGTAGAAGGGCTGCCCGACCCCGGGAGCAGGTTCGCCTCTCCTCACCCTCACCTGCCTGGGGGAAGGCTCGGGGGGAGGGGCTCGGAGGCCTGGCTTCCCGGTAGTGGGGACTCGTGGGTTATTCTGGTCCCAGAGACCACAGAGAGTCCTCTCTCTCTGCAGCAGGTCACTCTGGGCTCGGGGTGGGCAGCAGGGCAGGGTCAATTACGGAGACCCAAGTTACCCCTAGACTCTTTGCAGGACCGAGATGTGCAGCTGTCTAAGGCTCTGTCCTATGCCCTCCGTCACGGGGCCTTGAAGCTGGGGCTTCCCATGGGAGCTGGTAAGTGAAATCTGGGTGGCAGGGAGGAGTGGTTGGAACCCAGGAAGCAATATGAGCCTGTCTGTGCCCCCTGCACTGTGGCTCCCACTCCCGCCCGTGGAGAAGACACAGCAGGCACCTTGCACTGGAGAAGGTCGCAGTCGGGTCTGTCACTGTGGAGGGCACACAGCCACCCAGTTCACCCAATTCTGCCACTCTGGCCCAGTGAAGGCTGGGCCCAGAGCCCCATATCATGTCTACTGGGAGAGGAAACTGTCTAGGCGAGGCCTGGTGATGTCCAGCCAAGTAGCCCTTCGGGTGGTTTCCTGCCAGTCACATGGCCCAGTAGACACCCCAAGGATGGGCACTGAGGGAATCTTGGGGCAAGTGATGTTTACTGAGTATCCACTCTGGGCCAGTACTAAGCACTTTACCTGTGTGAGCCTCCCTGAGGCAGCTTCTCTCCCTGGGTAAAGAAACTGAGGTACAGAAAGGGAAGATTTCCCAGCGGTCACACAGACGAAGCCCATGTGATCTGCAGGCCCAGCCTTTGTTCTGGCTGCCTGTGGCCTCCCGTGAACTATGGGCTGGCCATAGCAAGGTTGGCACCTAAGCGCCTGTCTGCCCGCAGATGGCTTTGTGCCCCTGCACAGCCTCCTGCAGTTGCCCCAGTTCCACAGCTTCTCTGCTGAAGATGTACAGCGTGTGGTGGACACCAATGAGAAGCAGCGGTTCACCCTTCGGCCAGGAGACTCCAGTACTGGCCCCCTCATCCGGGCTAATCAGGGCCACTCCCTGAAGGTGGGTGCCGAGGGGACAGGTGGGAGAGCCAGATGGGACCCCTGTCCACAGAGGAGGTCTCACTGCTGCCTATTCAACCATCCATCTCAGGTGCCTGATTTGGAGCTGGTGCCCCTTGAGACACCACAGGCCCTGCCCCAGGTGCTGGTCCATGGTACATTCTGGAAGCACTGGCCATCCATCCTGCTCAAGGGCCTGTCATGCCAGGGAAGGACACACATTCACTTGGCCCCAGGACTACCTGGGGACCCTGGCGTCATCAGTGGTCAGTTCTACCCACCTATTCCCACCCACTCTAACCTCTCAGGTCCCCCCCAAGGGGCACAGCCTCACACAGCACTGTACCCCTCACCTTAGGACCACTCTGCCCTGGTTTACTAATTGCTCCCAGGTCTCCCATGCCCCACCTCTGGTTGTTCTGGCAGGTATGCGCCCAGATTGTGAGGTGGCTGTGATCATCAATGGACCCCTAGCCCTGGCAGGTGGGTGTTGTCACAGAAGGGACTACCGGGCCCTTTGAGGGGCACGAGTCACATCGCTAGTTCTGTTGGCAGATGGAATCCCCTTCTTCCGCTCTGCCAATGGAGTGATCCTGACTCCAGGAGATGCCAGTGGCTTCCTGCTTCCCAAGTACTTCAAAGAAGCCCTGCAGCTGCAGCCTGCCCGTGAGGACCACAACCCCACATGCCTGTGCCCTCTGCCCCTGCTTCTTTCCCACCCCCAAACCCAGGCTGACTAGATCTCCCTTTCTCTAAGCAGTTCTCATCTTTACCCCAGGAAAACCTCTCTCCTTGGCTGGTGATAAAGAGACGGAGTGTCTGAGTGGCCCCGTGCACAGCCGCAGAAGAAGGATGATCAAACAATAAAATATGTATTTAAAAAAATTAAAAGTAACAAGAAAAGAACTCCAGTTTGAAAGTAGGATTTCTCATCCTTTGCCTACATCTGGTCCTCCTTGTGTGCTCATGGAGCTGTGCCACATACAGGTCAGGCGTGTTGGCCTTGGCCATGCAGACAAGATAAGCAGGCTGTGTATGAGCTCAGGCCCACCCCACCCCCAGCCTGCATGATGGCAGAGCCTGGCCCAGCCAGGGACCTGGTCTGCCAGTGACAGCAGGTGGAAGTGCCCAGCTCAGAGCGTGCCTGGATTTGGGGTGGGGCAGTGAGAGTCCCAGCGGGCACAGGAATGGCTGTGGCTGGTGATGAGTGGGGCATGGGTAGTTACACTGCCCTTAGAAGGCCTCGTGGCCACCTATGAGCTGCAAGAAGAGGTCCTCATCCTGTTCCTCCCCACGGGCCCGCTCCCGAGTTGACAGGAAAATGTAGCCCCCGATATACTCGTGCACGATTCGACAACTGGCAGACACACAGCTAAAGGCCACGTTGATGTGCTCATCAAATTCGATGGCTACCTGTGGGGCGGGCAGTCAGAGGAGCCAGTGGGTGACAGGGATAAGGGCAAAGCCTCCACCATCTGTCCCCTTCCCCCTGCCCTCACGGTGGGCCTACCTGCCGGATGTCCCAGTTGACATTCCACTGGCGCATGTTGCTAAAGCGCCAGGTCTTGACCACGTCGCCCACAGCCAGGTCAATTCGGATCAGTCGGTTGTTGGCGATACCCAGGATTTCATCCTTCTTGCTGCCCTTAAACCTGATTGCAGGGCAGGTGTGTGTGAGCAGGGCCCCACAGTCCACCCAGATAGCGTGATGCGATGTCCAGAGACAGTGTGATGGGGCAGGACAGGGCTGTGCCCACATCCCAGCTCTGTCGCTCGCCTGCTGTGCAACCCTGAGCGACTTGTTCAGATTTCCTAGGGCTTGAGCTTCTCAGCTGGAAAATGGGTGTTATTTGATGGATTCACTTCACAGCACTGAAATGCTAATGATAGTGTGTATATCGTCATCGTCATCCATCACCCTGTCTTGGCAGGCTTGGGAAATGAATAAAGAGGGCCGCCTTCTGTCACGGCCTCTAAGGACGGCCGTGTCCTGAGGAACACTAATGGAGGCCCAGAGGGGGAAGGGTTCGTGCAGAGCCTGGACAGACACTGAGTCTCCTGCTTTCCCAGGTGAGCTCTGCCTCTTGCATCTTCAACAGGCCTGCCTGGGGCGGCGCGTGGGGCAGTGGGCGGCAGGCTGGGGCAGTGGGCGGCAGGCTGGGGCTTTTACCTGACGGTGAAGTAGGAGATGCCAAAATCAGGCAAGGACTGCCAGGCCTGGATGAAACGCAGCTGGGCCTCAGTGAGTGAGAGCTGGGCCACGTTCTGGTGGGCCTCCAGGATCCTTGGGGTGAGCTGTGGGGCCATACTGGTGAGGGGCTGTGGGAGTTCCCCCCCTCAAAGTCCCTGAGACCCCTTCCTGCCCCTGTCAGGGGGACAGGGTGCTGAGCCTGGGAAAGGGCCAATGCCCAGCACAGAGCCACAGAGCCACCAAAGTACAACCTCTCACTGCTTGGTAAATGCAAGCTGAGCCAGGCCCTGAGTGGACAGGAGCCCTAGGATCATGACCCTTTCAGAGGCTTGGGAGAGGGAACAGGTGCCCACACAGTTTTCTTCTGAGAGGCGGGTCAGAGGTACCCAGGAAAATGGTGTGGTCATTCCTACCCTCCACCCTCTCTATACCTGCTTGGCCTTGAACTTCCGCTGGAAGCGAGGGGCAACAAGGCCGTAGGGGTTGAGGGCCTCAGCAGAGGCATCGGGGCCCTGGGTGTGGTTGCCTGAGCCCCCACCGCCTGCCCGCTGCAGGCTGAGGAAGGCCAGGATGGCCTGCACCTCGCTGGCGTAGCTGCTGTCTGCCATGGTGCGGCCCTTCGAGGCCAGCCGGCAGCCGGCCATCCAGTGGGCATACTGCTGCTCCTGGGGGGACAGGGACAGTGGTGAGGAGCCAGCCAGGCTCTGCCCCCACCCCACCTCTGTCCTGAGTGCCACCTTAGCCCTGGCCCCAGCCTTGTCTTGTCCCTGCCAGCCTCACGCACATCCTGGCACCGCAGGTAGATCTCACTCATGCCCTCAGGGGAGGGCACTAGGAGTTTGATGCAGAACTTCTGGCTGGAGACGTTGACATCCGGGACCACCTCACAGCCTGCAGGGATAAGAGGTGGCTGGGGGTCTTGGCGGGGGAGGCCTGCCTGAGAGGGCCCGGTGTGAAAGCCAGCGGAATCAGAACAGCCACCTCCCCAGAGATCACCTTCCCCGGTTCCTAGAGGAAACAGGCGGGTGAGGGGCTCCTGCCAGTCCCTGCTCTTGCTCCCTTACCCTTGAGGTTGAGCTGCTGAATAGGGTCCCCCGGGGCTTCATCCTGGCTCTTGTAGTAGGACAGCGTGGTCTCCTTGAACACCACCCAGTGCTGGCGGTAGCCCTTCAGGGTCAGCTTCCGGGGCCTGAGAGCAAGCAGGGTGTGAATGGCCACCCCCGACACATACCTCCTCCTCCTCCGGATGGGGATGGCCGGACTCACCGGAAGATTCGGAGATGGTCCTTGAGCTCTGGGATGGTGGTGAGGCTGTCCTGGGGGAGGAGAGGAGTCAGGGGGGCCCAGGGCCCCTGAGCCCGGACACTCATCCCAGCCGAGCCCTCCTCACCAGCACATCTGTGGGTGCAGAGCCCTCCAGCTTCACTTCCAGGTTGTTCAGGGCCGCGTCCAGGTCGTCCAGTCCCGGGTCTGTGCTGGCTGCTTGGCCAGCCTCCCCGCTCTGCGACAGCTTGTTGATGTGGTACTGGGGGTGCATGGCCAGGGAGTGCTGAGTCCCACTGCCCAGTGGTGGCCCCAGGCTGAGCATCCCCGGAGATGAGCCCCGCTCCAGAAGGCCTGCCCAGGACCCACACCCCGGCTACCCCTGGCGCCTAGGCACCTGCAGGGCCGCGAACACCATCATCTCCTCCTCGGTGCAGTCAATCTCCTCCAGCAGCAGGTCCCAGCGCGCCTGCTCGTACAGCTGCGTCAGCCGCACCTGGTCTGCCTGCGGTGGGTGGGGAGCTGGCAGCTCAGACGCCAAGGGGCCTGCACAAGCAAGCGGCCTCCTGCGCCCCCTGCCTGGAGTACTGATGCTTGGTGGATGCCTGAGATGGAAGTTGAGCAACCCAAGTCCAGAAAACAAATAGCTCCCCCAGCCAGCACCCTCATTCCCCAGTCAAGGGCCAGGGTGGTGTGAGGAGCCGACCCGAGCAGAAACCTGAAGGGCGACAATGGGAAAAGTGAAGGAAGAGGGTTCCAGCCAGAAGGGTCGGCGGGGGCAAAGGCACAGGAAGGTCCCAGTACCACAGAAGCCACCCTCGGAGGCCCACTGAGACGGAGAGCAAGGCCCAAGAAATTCAGAAATAGCAAATGCTTGAAGACATCCTAGGGCTGGGGATAAAGCTCAGCAGCACAGTGCCTGCCTGGCAAGTGTGAGGTTGTGAGTTCGATTCGATTCCAGGTACCAAAAAAAAAAAAAAAAAACCAAAACCAGACATCCTTTCACAGTGATCCATGCACAGCCATGTTTATAGCTGCACAACTCATAATAGCTAAGTCTTGAAAACAGCCTATCTGCCTATCAACCGAGCAGTGGGTAAAGAAAAAGTGGCATTTACATACAATGGAATATTACTCTGCCATAAAGAAGGATAACCTTGAGTTATTGGTAGGAAAATGGATGCACCCCGAGACCAAAATTTGAAGTGAAATAAATTAGCTTAAATATGACATGGTTTCAATTATATGAGAAACACAAAATATATGTAATTTGTTGAGCAAAATAAAAGATCATAAGATCATAAGAAACAGGGAGATAGATATTTGCAAGTGGGAAATGGACCAAAAGATGGAAGGACCAGGAGAAAGGGGAGAGAAAGGAGAACCAGAAAGATTATGATGTGTTATGTGCATGTATCAACTCCCACAAAGAAAGGAATCAGTATGTATGTGCTACAAACACGTACTCACAAAAAGGAAATAAGAAATGCAAACCCAAGCAAGACACCTGTGATCCTAGCATTTTGTCTGGATTTTTTTGGGGGGGGGGAGGGTACCAGGAATCGAACTTATGACCTCATGCTTGCCAGGCAGGTGCTAATGCCGCTGAGCTATAACTCTGGTCCAATCCTAGCATTCTGGGAGGCTGAAGCAGGGGTATCTCAAGTTGGAGTGCAACCTGAAAAATTTAACAACTTAGCAAGTCCCTGTCACAAATTAAAAAAACAAAGATGCTGGGGATGTAGCTCAGTGCTTCCTGAGCTCAGTTCCTAGTAACACACACATACACACACATGAGAAAATCTAAAAGGGTCAGGCCCCTCCCTAGTAACCTGCAGCAAGGTGACCTATGCTGACACCGAGAAAAACCTGAAACCTTCTCCCTGAGGCTGCTGAGATGGACGGAGCTCTGCAATGGTACCCTGAATGCAACCGGAAGAGCGCCTGGTGTGGAATACCTGGGTGGAGTAGAAGCCGGCACTCAGCAGCGACAGACGACTGGGGGGCCGTCCCTACGTGACACCCAGACGCTGGCAGAGAGTTTCCAGCCCCAGCTGGACCGTGAGAGGGGTCACCACTAAGACACCAAGCAATGAGCAAAACCCTCCAGAGAAGCAGCCCCAGCCCATCCGCATCCCCACCCAGAGCCACCAAGACGCTGCCTGTGCTCACTCGTCGGGGTCTCCGGCCAGCTGCTTAGAGCCTGGCATCCAGGTGGGACTGGACAGCCAGGACTGCCCACAGCTGAGCACGGCTGCTGGTCTGGACTACGGAGACCGAGAGGAATAAGAGAAAACCAGCTCCAAGGAGACAAAGATCCAGGAGAGCAAAAAAGAGAAACAAAACTCCTCAGATATGAACCAAAACCCTTAGAGAACAAATTCTGCACTTAGAAATTGAAACCAGATTTTTTTTTTCTTCAGTATCAGGGATTGAAGCCTTGTACTCAGCT